GATACTGATGAGATGATGAGGCCCAGATACTGATGAGATGATGAGGCTGGTTGTAGCGCAGCTTGACGCACGGCTGAGCTGTGGAGATGTGGAGGTCTAAACAGACGTGAGTACAGCTTCCTGCTGTCAGTGTTTTAAATACATTGATAAGGCAGGCTATGCTAAATGTAGCTTCTGCTCCAGGGAGATGAACTACAGCAACAAGGGCTCACATGTCCTCTCATCACACTGTTCACTGTGATGACCACAGCCAGTGGACCAACAGGCCCAACAGTCCCACGTTGCTCTCAAGAACCCTGAAGTAATGAGAGGGTTAAGGAGCCTGTACCTTCATTTCAGCAGGTTGCTAATGCAGAGGTGTGTATAGATCACAGCTATTATTTACTCTTGATAAACTACCATAGCCAGAGTAGATTATCATTTTCATTTAAATAATTTAACTGGATTGAATGCATATTAATTGCAAATAGAAGACAGGCCACAATTCCAACAGCTTTACAGTAACAGTGGAAGTTAATATGAAGCCGTACAGTAACAAGGTTCAATGAATAATTTGTACTACAAAAGGGAAAGCAACATGTGCACTAGCTGGATGCTACTACCTACTAAAGCTCTTATTGATGTGTCAACCAGAGTATATTTATAAATGTTTATTCTTTTAATCAAACTATTGTCTCTCATTCGTTTGTGTCATTTAAGGTTTACTGGATGCTTTGGAATTCTCATTGTTAGTTTAAATACTACATTTTCTTACTTTTTCATGTATACACCGAGATTTCACAAAATGTTTGGTCATGGAAATTTGGTTTAGAGTCATGGAAAAGTCATGGAAATCCATTGGTCAAAATGTGTATGAACCCTGACTAGATGTTCTTTAGTGCACTAGATGTTCTTTAGTGCACTAGATGGTCTTTAGTGCACTCGATGGTCTTTAGTGCACTCGATGGTCTTTAGTGCACTCGATCTTCTTTAGTGCACATTGATGTATTCATGTTCACGTGTTTAGATTCGAAGCTCGGGGCGGCTGAGGTGTGGACGTCCCGGCAGGCTCTGCAGGATCTGTACCAGAAGATGCTGGTGACCGACCTGGAGTACGCTCTGGACAAGAAGGTGGAGCAAGACCTGTAAGCTGCTCCGCCTGAAACCACGACAACAAAGAAAACGCTTTTCTTTACCATTGATGATGTTTTCTGTGTTCCCTGCAGGTGGAATCACGCTTTTAAGAACCAGATCACCACCCTGCAGAGCCAGGCCAAGAACCGGGCCAACCCCAACCGCAGCGAGGTCCAGGCCAACCTGTCGCTGTTCCTGGAGGCAGCGAGTGGTTTCTACACACAGGTAGGGTTCAGGACTCATTGGGGACCAGCAGACTAGGCAGGATCAGGTTCGACATGGGGGTTTAGGATCAGAATCGGCTACATTGGTCAAACTATTGGAAATAGTCTCCAAGAGCAGTTTCAGGGCATTTTTATCTCTCTCTGTGGTCTTGATTTTCTCTTCAAAATAAAAGTCCTGCTCCTCTATGGAAACAGAACCATGACCTCTCTCTCTCCTCTCCTCCTCTTCTCCTCTCCTCTCTAAACACTTTATTAGAGGAGAGATTTTAAATGAGAACATGAAGAGTAAAATGTTTCTGATGAAATATCGTGATGTTAAGCTTCGTTTTGGCTGATTTTACTGACATAAGCGTTCGTCACACATGATGTGTTCAAGGACCGTTGGAAAGATGTCTACCTGACCTAATGATGTTTATTTACAGATTCTGTCTGTGATAAACGGAGTAGTTTTTGGTTATCTTAATGTATTTGTTTACGTTTGATCTTTTCTGGTTCTGGTCTTTTGAAGTTCGTCCTTTTTTACATCCTGGTTATGATTCTTGGTCCAATGTGTGAAACACTCGGAACTCTCCTCAAGTTCCATGTTTTGTATTAACGTGACTCGTGTTGTCTCCAGTTACTACAGGAGTTGTGCACCGTGTTCAACGTGGACCTCCCGTGCCGCGTCAAGTCTTCTCAGCTCGGCATAATCAGCAATAAGCAGAACGTCGGCGGCGCCATCGTCACGCCGCAGCCCAGCTCGTGTTCCTACATCTGCCAGCACTGCCTCGTCCACCTCGGAGACATCGGTGAGGAAACGTCCACGTCCACCGGAGTTCACTTCTTATGATCGTGTTGCATGTTTTAAAAACAGACTTGTTCTGTTCCTGGTTCTGTTTCAGCTCGTTATCGTAACCAGACCAGCCAGGCGGAGTCGTACTATCGACACGCAGCTCAGCTGGTCCCGTCCAACGGTGAGTCTGAAGCTACGAGGCTAGCAGTTTCCCCCTGCTTCCAGTGTTTGTGCTAAGCTAGCTAAGTAAACATTGCAAAATAATAATACATTTTATTTGTATAGCGCTTTCAAAAACACTTAACATGGTAAAAAGAGAAACAATAAATGATGCCCTCGGGTTAGAGCGGCCATGTTTGTAGTTCCTCCCTGTGTGTGTTGATGGCTCCATGTTTGTAGTCCCTCCCTGTGTGTATGTGTTGCATTGATGGCTCCATGTTTATAGTCCCTCCCTGTGTGTATTTGTTGTGTTGATGGCTCCATGTTTGT